ACAAAATGTCAAATCCAGTGAACAACTAACCATAACTAATTCATCTCCATTGATAGTAAAGTAATAAGTTGCACCCTTATCATTCGGATCGTCTGTTCGTATGTGTGTTTCCATCAATGTATCGTTCTTCTCATCAAAAGTGAACGTTATCTGGAACGTTTTATTTTTCATTCCACTACTATCGCGACTACAAATTGTAGTACTTCAGATCTGATTCAGTCAACTTGTTCTAAAATATCATTTTCTTGTCCAACAAAGCAGTTAAAGCATAAGGAAACTCAAAATCTTTTCGAAACAACGGTCCGAAAGTTTCTGACTTACCGTCAGCTCACCGTTAAAATTCAAAGTGCCCTCATAATGAAAACGCAACGGGATCAAACTATTCAGCTCAATCATTCATTTGCAGTCACAATCCGAAACTGCTAAGCTTTTTCGATCAGAAAATGGCGATAATTGACACATCGCTTAGGTTAACAATAAGCCAAACGATACACAGAATCAATGCGCTCAAAGGGCTACGTAGCAAATGAAGAAGCATTGTTCAATAAAACACCTTGTGCATCTTGCCGTCCATTCCTTCACCAGTGAATGGTTCATTTAATTTCCAGTTATCATAATGCGTATCTTTTACAATTGATAAAGCCGACGCGTCATAAGCATTAGTCGGATCAGTTTTTGATACACTGAATTCTCTCGTTACTGAGAACAATTCGATGTATTTCCTTAGAAACCAATTAAGACCTGAAAATAGTCGAATATTTAACCTTTTGTACGTCGGATTCGAAAAATTTTCCAAGTGAAATGCCATTTATCTGAAGACGCTCTACTCTGCGACATGTAATTTTGATGAAAGGTAAAATGAGAATATTTTCTTCATCCAATAATTTCTTTCTTTCAGCGAGCGACATTTCTAACGAAGCATTTTGGCTTAACTGAAGTAAATTATAATTCGATAAAAATTCACCTTCGGAAGCGAGATACTCGTCGAAATTTTCACTACGATCCAATTTGAATGAACCCATAAATTTGTCGGGTATTCGAGNCGAAGAGCGATGGAGTTATCTTAAAGGCGATTATAACACGGCAATCATTGATATTATGAATGGATTGATGTGATATATTCTCGACCTGTCTATCTGTTGATGAATTTTATCATATTGTTCTTAATGATATCAATTCAACTATCCCATACGTAAGCATTTCCAGTGGTAAACATTTCCCTCACCGTCATCATTCAACCTCCCAATGTAAGGTTGACCTCCCAATGAAAGAATTTTCCGAAAACTTTTTTCTCAAGCTATGAACGAATCTGGCGAAATAATTCCCCTAAATCCGCTGTCGGATGTTGCAAATTAATCACTACAAAACTTCTGCTCGCAAATAGAGTCCTTAGAGCCTGGAATCTTCTCCCCCAACGTACGTCTCCTCACAAATGCTCCACATGTTTACATGCAGACTTCGATATATAGTCCACCGAATGAAAACAGATTCGTATCCCTGTTGAAACCACGTTAACTATTCAACAAGAGGATGTCGAGAAATCGAAAGAACATGTTGGTTCATCCACCTAGTTTTATTCATTCCCATTTCATTGAATCGGGTATAGGGTTTGCAAAATCCCGACGGTTTTTCAATCCCGGGATCGGGATTTAATCCTTTAGTCGATTTTCGACACCGGGATTATCCCGGGATCGAAAATCGACCCCGGGATTGAAGAAGTTCACAAAAATTAAAATTTTAAAAACTAACAATTTAAAAAAGATATCCGCAATGGATTTTCATCGAAGCATCGAGCACTTTCGTATTTGATAATTTCGATAGAAATGATGGAAATGCGCTTGGTACTAATGCTTAAGATCGTTTTGAATGGAACAATTTTGCTCACTTCAACAATGATATCTCACAATGTGTGATCTCAGTGAGAACTTGTGTAAATTTCGATCGAACGAAAATGATTCCAAATAGCGAAGTAAAGATACTTGGAGTCTGTAGAACATGCAGTTCAATTAACACATGGAATATTGAAGCTGAACAAATCGCACAAAAGGAAACAACTCAAAATTTCGTAGAATTTTGTTGCTCTTGGTTCTCATTAGAAATGTTACGCAAAAGTTCATCGAGCTGCCGTTGATCATGCCATGATCAATGATAGGTGGTAAACAACAAAGATGGCTGCATATGAACGAGCTGGTAATGCGTACGGCTTGCTTCAATATGGGCAAATTATCAAAATTCATACAAATTGACCTGCTTCATCAAATCTCGAGATTTTTGAAAACTTAAATCCCAGGATCGCGATCTAAATTGAAATCCCGGATCCCGAGATCCCAGGGTCTCCTGCAAACCCTAATCGGATATCGTATAACTGAACAGTTCCATATCGTTCTCATTGTATGATAATGTATACAACGTGATTTTTCCCCTTTTTTTCAACTTCTCTCTGCTNGTGAGCAGGAGCTGTTTAGCAATTAAGAAATTATCATTAACTACATTCAATTCGTGGTGCTGTCTGTGATGGTCAAAATGCAAGTGCTCTTTATCGCCTTGCACGTTACTCTTTCGGTTGCGCATCGCGTCTGCTTTATGCTGTTTTTTCTTGCAGCCGCACATTCGCTAAGCCGGTGGTTGGCACCGTTCTGATACGTTGCCGGCCTCTCTCCCCTGGGGAGGCGTGCAAGGGAAATGAGGGTGGACTGTGATAGACTTATTGCGCAATATGAGGCAATATTAGAGTGCTTTAGTAATTCAGGACGCGAACGAGAACAAGTACATATTTCGTTAAATATTCCATTTGCCATGCTCTGTTATTTTACTGTGCCCTTAGTGGTGGAGTTAATGCGCTCGCACTCTACAAGTGCGCTGAATACCCAAGTTGGATTGCAAGCAGCAAAGGCAGTGCCGAATGGATTACCGGACGTATTCTTAATTTCATCTTAATTTCAGTGTGTTTGTATTCCATTTCATCATGTGACCATTGATAACACTCGTCAATGTCACATTTAATTCGTGTCTTTTTCATTCATACTCATCAGGTTCAAGATTATTTCTTAATGTATTATGTGCATCATCCAAGTGAATGTTTCCATCATCGTTGACAGTTTATCAGTGTATGTATTTTCGATTCCTAGCTTCAAGTGCTCTATTTTTGGAGCATGGTCTCATCCACCAGCACTCTGAACGAGATTCCGTTCGGCACATTTTGAACGCCAATGAAAACGGAGTGTTCCTTTCACCAATCGACGCGTAGGTAATCTTCCATCTGACTGTTCTTGCTTCATTAAGGTTCATTAACGATGCGAAACTTATTTGTCGACGCCCCTATGCGAGCACTATACCGAAAGTGTTTAGTGCAAGAAATGTGATTTTTACATGCGCATTCGTTTGCGGTAATGCCTGTATGAATGTGATTGATGATTGGTGTATATGTAATGAAAAGTGTTTAGGGTATAAACCGTTATAGCAGTTGGATTGACTGTTTGACGGTTTTTTTTCGGTTGAACCGAAACAACGAAATTTTCTCCATCGTTCGTGGAGGGCATATATTATTTTTGGGGTTCTAGTATTTGCTGATATTTTCTCATAACTGTGCATATTCCTCTGTCTGCTGTCAATTTTCAAACGAAAAATATTCATTCAAAATTTATCTTCTCTGTCAACAATGGCTAATGGTGGTGTTTCAATGAAGTCATCGCCGTGGGGCAAGAACGTTAAAGAGGTTACGGATGTGGATGACGAGCCAATTGTTTCGTTGATTGAAATTATGAATGAGGAACTTGCTGAACAACTTGAAGAGGTTTATTCTTTTCTTTGCGTGACGATTATTTGAGCGTTTATTTACTTGTTTGACCTCAAAGTAAGTATCAACCGAATAATGTGCTGAAATTCATCGATACATTTCTAATTCAAACATTTTTTTCAATATTATAAAATGGCACTATTCTTGTTTTAAAAAATATTTACAAAGATCTTTGTACGCATGACGTCTTAATGGAACTCGACATATTTGTTTGAGAATTTTTGATGGTTAGTCCAATTTGATGACATATCAATCAGTAAATTCCTTTGTAACACTGCTCATTTTCATTTGATTTCCGAGAAATTGTTCCAGTCAACTTTCGTTTCAATTGTTCTGTTTTATATTTCAGAATGGAAAGATAGTCTCGCAGACGTATACTGTTTTTGGACGGTAACATTTCTGAGAAACAATCAGATGTGATGTACTGAATAGACAAGATTTAGGCAGAACTTGCGGATGCGACAGAAACAGGTTTGGATTCATCATTGGCACAGTATGGATTGACTGTAGAGGATGTGGGAGAGGGAGCAGACGACTTAACACTTGCACGTGCCTTACAAGCTCAGTTCGATCGAGAGTATCAAGCGAGCCTTAAAGTTGAACCAAAAAAGGGGAAAGGAACAAAAAGTTCGTCGTCTTCTTATTCTGTCCTTCAATACTTTGGACCAATTAATTCCACTGATATCTTCCATTTCTTTATTGGATCGCATGCTTCGTTCACCTTTCATAACAAATCATCAATTTCGTCAATGATTCTCTCATTAAGCACTCGAAATGACTTACATTTAATGTTAACTTTAGCAACCTTTTAATTTCGTCGCTCTGTAACTTCTGACATCTGGGACAAGCTCGACGAACGCGCTTTCCCAAGGTTTGAAAAATTGTTCACTAGCTATGGTTGGAGCAAGAGTGAATACTGATTGATGAATTAGTGTTTATGATGTGATGTCACAGAACAGGATGTAATTTGCTTTTTCAGTTGAAGTGAATTTCGAATCTTATCATCCGAGTTATGATTTGGAAGGTGATTACGATGACGAGAGCGGTGAAGATGATGAAGATTTACGTGAATTCGCCACCAATCTCTTATATGGTGGGTTGTGTTTCAAGAGAATGTTATTGCTGATAGCTGAGTAACTGACATCACAACACACTGAAGCTGTTTGATTTATTCGAATCTTCGAATGAATTTTTAATGTTTTACCGTAATTGAAATTTTATTCCAAGCGTTCATCTTCCAAATAACCGTTTCTGAATTTTTTTGTGAATTTGTTCAGTTATAACAGATGAAATCAGATTAGCGTTTTTGAAGTATCACTTCATGTTCACGACTGATTTTTATGTAGTTTTTAATTGATGTGAATATTTTTATGTAGAATGAGGAGTAAAAATTTTCGTTTTGTGGATCGTTTGCAGAAAATGTGAAAGAGGAGTTTCCACCGTGTGGCTTCGTAAAAGATGCAGAGGGAAATTTGATTACAAAACATGATAAAGAATTATCTGAGAAACGTAACACAAATAAAGTCATGCAGGTACAGTGAAAAGTTTTGCTCTTTTTTTCATGATAACCAATAATATCAAAAGAATTGACATGTCCAAATAAATTCGCTACGCGCAATGCTTTCTGAAACTCGACTTTATCAAAATTTGATCAAGAGGGAAGAGTTTTTGACGGGTGGCAATTTTCGATTTCCCAAGTCTGCCTTTCGTTTCAAAAGTACACTGTGCCATCAGCTGACTGCATTTTCGTCAATGAACATTCGCGTGGATTCAGTTTCATTTCTTTAAATGGATTCATTTGCAAGATTGGTANACTTTGCATCAGTTGATGTATTTTTGTTATCAAATGATCGACAAATGTCTCTCCCATCGCACAGTCACTTGCTGTATCGTCCTACTCATTTCATACTGATATTCGTTGAATTGTTCAATTTCAGTTTCCGATCGATTTTCCAACCGGTGACGTGGTTGGTGAGAAACTGAGTAATCGTGTTTTCAATACATTGCGTGCCTACAGTAAAACTGATCAAAAACGTAACATACGAATCAGGGTTAGACTTATTCTATTTACTCTATTTTAATCATTAGATTTACACTTATTCTACTAGCCTCTTTTTATCTGAATTCTAGTTGTTCATCATTTTTTCTGTTGATATGGCGCACTACAATTTTTTTATTGATTGATTTTTGGTTTACAAAAAATTCATCTTAATACATCTGTGATGATTTGTTTTAATGAACTCATCGCGTATAAGCAGTGCCGGTCACCTGCATCAGTCATATTTAACTGTTAATAATGAAAGTTTTTTTGTCAAATGTTCAAATTAAACTAGTCCCAGAATGTATTTCATTTGTTCACTCTTTGAGCGTAACGTATTACTTGTTTATGTTGCTTAATTAGGACGGAGTTTTGATTCTAGACCGAGTCTCGTTCGTTTCAACTAAATGATTGGTTAAGTGGTTCATGTTCTTGTCTTAATCTTCTTTTCGGGTTTAGGATAAGGAGGAAAAAGCTACAAACGATCAAAGTATGGATGCGACAACAAGAATGATTCTCTATAAATGGATTAATTCAGGCGAAATGTTCGATCGAGTTGAGGGGGTGATTGCAACCGGAAAGGTTTACTGCAAATTCATTCATTACCATTTTTTGGACACCCTTCTGCTGAATGTTTGAATCTGTAATTCGGTGCANTGATTGGTTCTTTACGTACGTCGGTCGCAGTGAAACTTTTTCAAGTTCCGCAAATAATGCAGAAAAGTTCAATGTAATATGAAATACAATAGAACTTCTTCAGATATCCTATGTTTTTTTTCGACGTTCTTATATGAACGCGATGTAATTTATAGGAATCAGTTGTATTACATGCGGCCACTCGTGCCGATAGTGTGTTGAATTTGGAAGAGGCTCATTACGCAATTAAAGTCTTCAAAATGACGCTGACCGAATTCAAAAATCGTTCTGAATACGTTCAAAATGATTACCGTTTCAAGAATCCGCGCAGAGTGTTGCGTGTTTGGGCTGAAAAAGAGTTCATGAATTTGCACCGGTTCGTTTGTTTGTTTTTGTTGTCACCTTTATCTGCTGTTTTCGTTGATTGACTGACATCAGGAGCTCTGACGTTGTTCCATATCCACGCGAAATTTTGTTTCAATCGCAAATCACTTACTCGTGTAATTAATTGGGAATTCGTTATTGAATGAAGGGGTTTGATTGTAAGCATTGTTATCTTAGCCAATGAACGAACGTAAATGTTGTAGAATGGTTCGAGCTGGTCTGAGATGTCCCGAACCAATTCGTCTTAAGAAGCATGTAATGGTGATGTCGTTGATCGGTAGTGGTGGACGAGCTGCACCGAAATTGAAAAGTATTGACTGGGAGGATGAGGAAAGTAAAGTGGATGCTTTTGAGCAAGTTAGAGAAGTAGGCACCTTTCTGTTCATTTTCATCCATGATAATATTACCATCAACTCAGACTTTAGTTTAGAGCGGTTTTTTATTTCTTATAGTGAGGATTTCGTGCATTTTAATGATGGAAGTATTCGAAAGTATGCTATACATGGACGATGCTATAGCTTTAAAATGGAATAGATCAAAAATAAAGCTTGATGCCGATTGTGATATTACAGGCTATGTTACGTATGTTCAAAGAATGCAACTTGGTTCATGGTGATTTAAGCGAATTCAATATGTTGTATCATCTTGGCCAGGTCTACATTATTGATGTGTCACAGGTAAACAATTCATTTATTCATACACTCACAACTCGTTGCAAAATTCGTTTTCGCATGTAACCGTTTTTGCAATTTGTCTGTTTCCGTATAATTTTTCAAATTGCGTTTTCTTCTTTTCACTTTCAGAATTCTTCTCTTTTTCATTTGATATCTATTTTTGAGTGATTGTCGTTGATTGAGTCATCGGCAAGAACTGATTGAAGGCAATTGATATTTCACACCCGCGTGCGTTGTTCTTCTTGTTACGTGATATCGAAAATGTCTTGGAATTCTTCGGACGAATTCTCACTGAAGGCTTACCAACTGCTACTGAACTGTTCAACGAAATCACTGGATTGAATATGGACCCTGAAAAGAATCTTCTCGTACAGGTAAGTAGATCACCGAATATTATCATCTCAGAATTTTGTATTGCTCTCATTTCGCAGTCAACTCAAAAATATATTCAATATTTTTGTGTCATCAAGAAACGATTTTAAAAATGCTTGATTAGTCGTCTTTCGGGTGTATTAGTATACTTGGAGTAGCACGAATGAGAATTCAACCTGTAATTCGCATGATTCAACTCGAAAATTCACTGACTGTGAGATGGATGAAAAATGAGTTCCAGGTGGAGCATTTTGAGAAAGACAATCGAAATGTTCAGCTGAGAGAGGATAAAGCCAAGCCGGCAGATTGTGACCTTCGCCTCTATGTTGACGAAGTTGCTACAACACATGAAGATCCGGCTAAACTCTACAATTAAAATCTTTTTTTTTTGCCTTCTCTGCATGCAATTGAACATTTTTCTCACTTTCATTTATTCTTAATGGATGGCCTTTTTGAATTGTTTTTTTTTTTCGAAAAGTTTTGTTGTTTCATTTCGAAACACTTATCACAATGTGATAGCTGTTGAGTAAGTACACGCTGTTGACATATTTTGTATCAGTACACTCAAAGTCAGCATACTGTGGTGACATTGATATTGAGGCGAAAGAATGATTTTGGATTTTGATGAGGGGAATTCATTCAGTGTTTTGTGTTTGTGTTTTTTTCGTTAACATTTTCATCACAACCGTTGTTCGTTCACCGTTCTGATTTATTCTCACTGAAATTGTTTCATTATTAAGCTGAGTGTGAGCGTTTTTGAAGTGCACACAACTGAGGCGGTCAAATGTTGAACTTTTTATGGATGGGTTTTGTTGTTGTTGTTTTTTGTTCCTTTACAAGCATCTACTTGATGTAGCACTGTTTAGATTTTATCCACGTTCAGATATTCTTCTCAAGTATTTTCTTGTCAAATCTATCAATGATTTTATTTGAGAGCTTTGTAGTATTTCATTTGAATTAATTCCCTCGTCTAAACACACCTCCTAAATGACCGTTATTTGAAACATTGGTCTTGGTTTATTTATTTTTATTTTTCTTATCTCGTCAGGAACAATTTTGAATCTGAGATTGTACGTTTTTTTTTTTCATTTGTTCGTTCACCGTACAGATTTGTTATCCTTGGTTTATTTACTTATTAAATGAACATTTGTAAATTTCTCATATTGTGGTAACAAATTCGTCGAATTTCTGAAATGGAAGACAAAATTTCGTTATGTTTGTCTATTAAAATTGTAATTGAAAGCAAACGAAATTGTTTCATGTGATCTTATTCAATTTATATAACAAGCGAGAATGTGAAATAATTCATTGAGCGAACTTGTTTTAAGCTTTGCATTAATTCATCGATGTAAACGTTTGAGTTAGCAGTCTATACACTTTTTTTGATGGTCACCGTTGAGGCAATTTTGGGGCGTCGAGCGCTGACTGCGGACTGATGGACTCATTCTATACATTTCTTACAAGCATCGTCTTCAGAAGATGCTTGTAAGCAACTGCAATCGTCATGTTTTTCGTATATTCTCAGTTCGTTTTGTCATTTTCGAATCGTTGATGGAATAATGTTCATCTTTCTCACTTCTGAAGTGTATCATTATTTCATTGTCTCATTCATTTGATCAGTGATCGTTAACTTATCCGAATGTTCAGTGAATGAGTGATTATTAGAGTAATTCTTTGATTAATTAGTCTTGATTAAGGTGATTAATTGATGTAATTTCGAGAAGATATATTCATTATAACAATTGTTTTGGTCAGCCGTTCTGGTTTGATTTGATGTATATTAAAATGATGTTCATTATTAGCTTTTAAATTGCTTGTTGGTTTGTTTTATTTGGTTTTGTTGTTGATTTTGTGGGAATGATTCTTCGTTTCGATACCATCGAAATAGATTCATTTGTGCAAATTGGTGCAAAAAGTCGTGCTTCTTGAATGTAAAGGATAAATTTTGTTTTGAAAATGCGCCAAATGCCCATCTCAGAAACAGTCGATAACGATAAAGATATTTGAACGAACTCATGCATTCATTCACCTCACTTGTTAGTCATCATCTCTCACCACCGATCGAACAACTCAGCAAAAACACTTAATATCGCCAACTGTTAGTTCCATCCTTTACCTTATGCAAACGGATCAACAAATTNGAGACTTCCATATCCTTGAGTGGTTGCTGGAAATATGCCCTACCGATTTTAGAGATGCATGTTTGGCTAGAGTTGTATTTTCCTTGGGAATCTTCTGACATGATCGATTTCGGGTGTCAGTACGAGAGTTAACCAATTCACATTCGTCAAAAGCGGCTCTTCGATGTTCAATTGTCATGAAGAGACTATATTGTTAACGTTAATCATAGCATTAGTCAGTCATCAGATGTGATGATATTTGGATGCGAATCCTCCGTATTTCATATTCAGTAAACTGATGATTCTGTAGACTGATGCATGTCAGCCGATTCGCAGTTTCGTCTGTTATCACTGTAACTCTATTGCAGAGGAAGATTTTATCTCCTTCATATTCATTCCGTCGAAAACTTCTCCGTTTCGGCACCGTTCTCTTTACTTCATCCGTTATTTTGTTTATCGAAAGCTATGATCTTGCAATTCTAAAGGTTGAGATTTTTCAGACCTTTTTGCGTTCTGAAATGGCCATATGCATCGCGTTGATCGGTAAAGATGTGAGTTTATTTGTTCGACTATCAAATGTAATTTGTAAATCGATGCAATTTTTTCTTTGTAAAATTCGATTGTTTCGTGTGTTCTGATTTGTAAAATTAGAACACATGAAACAATCAAATTTTTTACACACATGAAACAAAACAATCAAATCAGTTTGTAAAATCGACGTATTTCTTGTTAATAGAGATTGAGAATTCATGTGTTCTAATGATTCCGTATTAACGCTTTATTGGCTGCATTGCGTATTTCTACAGAGTTCACCGTTGTTTGTGAGCATATGTGAAAAGGACATGCCTCGAGAGTTTGATGTTCATATGTTTTTGTATTGTTCGCTGGATATTGTTGATGAAAAAGTGGATGGTTCAAATCGTCCTCAAGAACTGTACTTAGGACCGTTGATATCAGATCAAAAATTCAAGGTTATTCCCNCCCAAAAAAAAACTGTTCTTTTCACTAAATTAGCAGGAAGTCGATACCATTCTCATAACCGGAAGTTTATTCGATTACAGTTTTAATTAATCCCTTAAAGATCGTAATAAATGATATTTTGCGATAAGATATCATTATATCCTAGTAATATCACCGTACCAAATGATTACTTCACTACTCCTATAGGTGTTCTTCTCGTAATATCTTTACTGAATAATCAAGTCAAGTTTAGTCATTTGGTTATGTGACGAATACAAATGTTAAAATCATTTTAATAACTGAAGTTGGCAATAGTACACTGAAGGATCAAGACGTGCGATCGGTTTGTTTCTCTTCCGGATTTGAGTACTGAAATTTTCATTTTTATTTCACTTCAGTAGCTTACATTGTTATTCAAATTCATCACATTCCCACAATATCGTTATTCAGCTTTTCATATCCTAAAGATTCGCTCAGAATTGATAAATGATTAGGAAAACAATAGTATTTCAATTGAACGTTTCAGATTTTTAAACGCCTTCATAACGCATATTACAATGCGCTATCAAACCCGTTTTATGTGCCCGGTCAGATGATNATGCATTTAATTGAGGATCGTTGTAATAACACATTATGTTAAAGTAGTGTTCCATTAAGGAACGATCAAAATTGTTTCAGTGGTTATTGATGATAATGAGTGTTGAATGAAGAATATTTAATTTCAAGTGCTTCAACAGATAAAGTGGTGATATTATTGGTTTATCTGAGAACTTGTCAAATTCTATCTTGAAATGCTCATTTTCGTTTGATTGCAGAATACTCGAAGAAGTTGCTCAAGACATTTTCATACGATAGCATCGATAATCACTGATGACTGGGTGGTTATGATATGAATTTATATCAGCTGTGATGTTGCGTTTTGTGGGTGAGGAAGGGTTGATGTGTCATCTTCATGAAGAGAGAATGGCAGTTGCTATTTTTGTTATTTAGATCTTTCGAGTGTAAATGACAATGAAGTTCTTGTTTCGTGATTTGTTATACTCACGTTGTTTACAGAGCGTAAAAAATGTTGTTTTTAAATCGATATCAATTGTGTCCAAATGAATTGAGCTTTCAAGAATTTCATTCAATTTTTATTTGTTCATCGTGTAAAATTGATTACTGCAATAAAAGTTATATGGTCAGTGTTGTGACTGATACAAAACAGCAATAGATAAGGTTGTGTGTTTCCATACAATATTTTATGTTTCATTGATCGCTTCATTAATGTGATCACATCGATGATTCCAGTCATCTTATAAAACTCCGTTGTTGAATCCCAAAAGATGATTCAATTAACTGTTGTTGATTTGGTTGCATTCAATGACCTGATCATAACTAATATGAATATGGCTTGATAGCTCAGGGGCTTTTTTCTTTCGAAACGGCGAACTCGTGTCGACTTGTTGATTCTTTCTTATTCAATGATGTTAAAAAGAAATTAGTTCAGTTATTGGTATTTGCTTGGTCTCATATTGATATTAATATCTGCAGATGGATAACGGTTTCAGCGGTATTGTTCGCATCTCAAATGTTAACGACTTCATTGCTCCATCGCAGGTATTTATTTTCAGATGTCATTCATTCACGAATGCACATCTTAAGAATGTGCAATTAATTCTCCTCAAATGAGTGTTTTCTTCGTTATGATCACAAAAATGGAATGAGGTCAAATTCATCAGGCATGTATATTACCACTCCGTTCAAACAGCAGCAACAGTGATAACTTATTAGTTGGCATTCGCCGCAAGAATGCAACTGATCGAAACAATCAAAAATCAAGTAAAGTTACCGTATCGCTGAATGACTGCCTTGCATGTAATGGGTGTATCACAAGTGCTGAAACCGTCCTCGTTCAGGTAAGCACCAATATCCTCACGCAAGCTCTATCTCCCTTTCTTCATTCTATAATCATTCATAATTTTTATTACTTATTTTTATGAGTGTTCCATTCTGTCAATTATGCCGTATCTTATTTTATGAATTTTAGTATATTCGTTATAGAGTTTTATTGAGCCGTATTCATTATAATCGTGATATCAAATCCAGATTACCTCACCGTACACATCTCTAGCACAACTCTGCTATGAGTGTGAATATTTAAAAATGCTGTCCATAAAAACATGAATATGCGCATTATTTCGTCAAATATGTTTGTTNTTCAAACAACGATGAATGTTTTTGTATCAATTTATGCGATTTAAGGAGCAGTCAAAACCAAAGTTTCTCGAAGGTATATCCAGGTGTGAAATGGCCGTTGTGACAGTCTCCCCACAAGCTGTCTGTTCAATCGCCGCTAGCCGCCGACTTAACATCAAACAAACTGCACACTTAGTGTCGCGTTGTTTGAAACGTTTAGGTGTTAAATACGTACTCGATTCAAGTTTCGCAAGACTTTTCACACTTCAGCTATCATACGACGAATTTTTGAGACGTCGAGCTGAGGACAAACCTATTCTGACATCTGCATGTCCAGGATTTGGTTGGTTATTTTTATTCACTTATTTCGAAAGTCTGTCGGCCATTGGCTTAATTTATCCATCTTCTTCTCTCGAAGTTACTTTCAATCAATCCGTAACAGTTCCTTCTTGACAATTGCTTCAAATCTTCACTGTAAGGTTATTTTTTGGAAAGATTGATGAGTCAGTTCACAATTGATATGGTGAATTGCAGTTTGTTACGCCGAAAAAACGCATGGTAAACTACTTGTTCCACATATCAGTCGGATTCGATCGCCACAAGCCATCGCGGGCGTTCTGGTGAAAGACTACTTAGCAAAGTGAGTAATATTGTCTTCGAGACGAGTACATCGCTTAACATTGTTCCATTTTAGTAATCGTAGAAGATAACTTTATTGGTACTGAACTGCGATTAGTTGAGTGGTAATCGTTATTATGGTAATAATGATAATTAAAAACATCCATTTAATCATTCATTACCACACGTGAACAAAACATTTGTAGAAATAATTCCTCATATCATTTTGCAATCGTTAATTGCTTCAATCAAATCGATGATGTGTATTCATAAGGAATTTTTCAGAGTTCTGTCAGTCAAATCAGATGCGATATTCCACGCAACCATAATGCCGTGCTTCGACAAAAAACTTGAAGCGTCACGTCCCGAATTCGCAAACGAATCTTCTCGGGAAGTAGATTGTGTTCTGAGTGCAGGTCAGCAATAGCCGAATGGATTTACAATTAGTTTTTTTATAACGTGAAGTGACCATTTAACAGAATCAAATTTTTTAATGTATAACCCGACTGCTTTAACGAAGAAATAAAACAGTATCTTATTTCTAAATACACAAACGGTTTTCTTAGCGATGATCTAAAACACCTTATGAACTGATTTTCAGCTGAAATGGATGAACTATTGAGTGAAGAAGAGACTGAAAATGATGAGGGAAAAAATGATGAAAAGGGCGATTTTGATGGCGAAGATGAGAAATTGAACTGGTTGTCATCATTCGAGAGAGGCGATTTGATCGGATCCGCGGACGACGGTGATGCTTCTGGTGGATATGCCAATTACATTGTCAAAAGATTCCTAACCGACCATTCCAAACCGGATCATTCACTCGACATACGAAGCACGCAAAAGTTAGTTCATTGCATTTGGATTCACTGCATTAA